TTTCCCACTACCCTCTGCCGTTGCGTTCAAGATGGACTCCCACCCTTCATCACCCTGTCCCCTGCTGCTTGTACGTCTACCTGTCCGTCTTCGACGCTTCTCAGCAGTTTCCTGAAGGATTCTACACTACCAGCCAGCCCCTTCTGGAATTCATCCCGTGTCCCATCGTGTCCCAAACACTCTACTTTACACCGGAACACTTTCCTCTGTTTCTTACTTCCCATCTTCCTAGATCGGTCGATGTTTGCCCATATGAGGAAGTGGTCGGTCGAACCTATATCTATCGCACTTACGTGCAGCTCTGGGATCTGCGTGCTCCCCCTGTCTACCAGGATGTAGTCGAGGATTGAGTATTCATTGCAAACTGCCCGTTGCCTTGTGAACTCCGGCTTATCGCATTCCCTCCTACCGTTCAACACCATCAGTTCGTTGCTTCCCAAGAATTCAAGCATCCTCATTCCGTTGTCATTCACTTTGTCTTCTCCGTGCTGCCCCGATCGCCTGTCTTTTACTGGAAGCTTTCCCTACTCTGGAGTTCAAATCGCCCACCATGACAACTTCTCCCTTCCTATTGAACCTCTGGACATCTTCCCCAATTTGTCCAAAGTTCTCCTGCGCCTTGCTTGCGACTTTCTTCGACGACGGTGGGACGTATACGTTCCCTAGAAACAAATCTTTCTCACCCCGCTCCTCAGGTATCTTAAGCCATAGGCTTTCCTCGAACTCCGTTTTCACCACTACTTCCACCACGTCAAACAAGTGTTCCTTGACCAGGAATCCCCGTAGTAGGGTGAAAAAATTAAAAATTACGAAATTTGCGGATGAAAGCGAAATATAGCTAATAAGCTCTCGTGAGTACGAAACGTCGACATTAGCACCGTTGACGAGGGAAAGAGACGGCTGGACCCTTCTCGCGATAAAAAAAAAATCAGCACGCACCGCAGGAGGAAGGTTGGGCATGAAAAGAAATAAAAAGAAGAAAAAAGCCCTGGTGTTTACCCCCTCCTGTGTGACCCTGGATGGTTGTAGTTGTACGAAAAAATACACTTAAAAGTGTAGTACTCAACATACGCTGAAAGGTGTAGTACACGTCTCACCACGAAAAATGGGGGGACTCGCCATAATAAATGGGACGAAAACACACACACACACGCAACACAGATGCTGGGGGACTGTCGCCATAATATATAGGACGAAAAAAAAAAACTCACACACACACACAACACAGATGCTGTGTTTCAAGGCCACATCGGGGGTTGTGTCAGTTCTCGAAACTGATTACGTACTTCTTGGAAAACAGCCTCTCTCGATCTAGCTATAGCCCGCAATCAAGCCCAACCTTGACCGTTTTCGACTCAAGCCTGCCGAAGGAACGCGAATACCCCGCCTTCACAAACAAGGAAAAGTGCAGCACGACAACATCAAGGGACATGTATCGCACAGAGGACTGCAGAACCCACACGAGGGGGCAACGACTTTGACGAGACTGAGATGTGCACCGGGATAGACTACACAACGAAAAACAGCCCACCTCAAATACACACCTCTCGTGACTCCTACGTACCACAGCAATATACCTCCGGAACCAATGCACAATTAATCGTATGCACGTGTCAAGAAATGCTTCGGTTCCATGTACTGGGACGGTCAAGCACGAACACAAACCAACAGCTTATTCCCAATGTCTTTCAACACAACGTGCAACAAGGGTGCACAACAGGTACGCTCAGCGCAGCCGCGAGGACACAAGATGGTTTCGACTGGACCAAGCAAGACACGATAATACGAGTACGACCCCGAGTGATCGACACAGACACCAGAGACTATGTCTCGAGGAGGGCTGAGGCACAATGATCCATAAAAGTAAAGGCCCATTCTACAACCGTTACATAATACAAGAACATGCTGTTATCGCCACGCGAGCTGATGCAAACAGCTCGCATCTTAGTGCACTCTACGCTGTACCGCTTGCAACACCTGCTGGTCAAATGTTTACCACAAAAAAAGGACGGAGATGCTCTATACCGACTCTACGCAGTCGTTGCACGCCGGTACTCCGACCATTGCGGCTCGGTACCCAGTCAAGAAGTGCTCGAGCGACACCGGGGCGTGCTCCAAGATGTCCTGGAAGGACTTCACGCTGCTTGCTGCGGCCATCAGGGGGACCTTCACCATCACCACCTGTACCGATGGGAAAGAGGTACAGACGCAAGTGCGTGTGTTA